TAAAATATTTTTAATTCTAAATAGACGTATGCTATAGATAAGTATTCTCTCTGCTATGTAAAATCAGAATATTTGTACTTCTAAATTTACATATGACACCGATAAGTATTCTGCTGAGTAATTATGTATGGCACCAATAAGTATTCTGAGTAATATTAAAATATTTCTAACCCTAAATAGACGTATGCCACCGCTAAGTATTCTGCCGTGTAATATTAAAATATTTTTAATTCTAAATAGACGTATGCTATAGATAAGTATTCTCTCTGCTATGTAAAATCAGAATATTTGTACTTCTAAATTTACATATGACACCGATAAGTATTCTGCTGAGTAATTATGTATGGCACCAATAAGTATTCTGAGTAATATTAAAATATTTCTAACCCTAAATAGACGTATGCCACCGCTAAGTATTCTGCCGTGTAATATTAAAATATTTTTAATTCTAAATAGACGTATGCTATAGATAAGTATTCTCTCTGCTATGTAAAATCAGAATATTTGTACTTCTAAATTTACATATGACACCGATAAGTATTCTGCTGAGTAATTATGTATGGCACCAATAAGTATTCTGAGTAATATTAAAATATTTCTAACCCTAAATAGACGTAGGTCACCGAAAAGTATTCTGCTGTGTAATATTAAAATATTTTTTATTCTAAATAGACGTGTGTCACTGATAAGTATTCTGCCTTGAAATATTAACATATTTCTAACCCTAAATAGACGTATGCCACCGCTAAGTATTCTGCCATGCAATATTAAAATATTTTTAATTCTAAATAGACGTAGGCTACTGAAAAGTATTTTGCTGTGTAATATTAAAATATTTCTAATTCTAATTAGACGTAGGTCACCGAAAAGTATTCTGCTGTGTAATATTAAAATATTTTTTTATTCTAAATAGACGTGTGTCACTGATAAGTATTCTGCTGTGAAATATTAACATATTTTTAACCCTAAATAAACATATGCCACCGCTAAGTATTCTACCGTGCAATATTAAAATATTTTTAATTCTAATTAGACGTAGGCTACCGAAAAGTATTTTTCGGTGTAATATTAAAATATTTCTAATTCTAATTAGACGTAGGACACCGAAAAGTAGTCTGCTGTGTAATATTAAAATATTTTTAATTCTAAATAAACGTAGGCCACCGAAAAGTATTCTGCTGTGTAATATTAAAATATTTCTAATTCTAAATAGACATAGGCCACCGAAAAGTATTCTGCTGTGTAATATTAAAATGTTTTTAATTCTAAATAAACGTAGGCCACCGAAAAGTATTCTGCTGTGTAATATTAAAATATTTCTAATTCTAATTAGACGTAGGCCACCGAAAAGTATTTTGCTGTGTAATATTAAAATATTATTAATTCTAATAAGACGTAGGCCACCGAAAAGTAGTCTGCTGTGTAATATTAAAATATTTCTAATTCTAATTAGACGTTCTCCACTGAAAAGTATTCTGCTGTGTAATATTAGAATATTTTTAATTCTAAATAGAAGTAGGCCACCGAAAAGTATTTTGATGTGTAATATTAAAATATTTCTAATTCTAAATAGACGCAGGCCACCGAAAAGTATTTTGCTGTGTAATATTAAAATATTTTTAATTCCAATTAGACGTATGCCACCGATAAGTATGTCCCAGATTCAGCTTCCACAGCAACAGCTTTTCTATGTGGAGTGAAAACCATATACGAAGGAGTTGCAGTCACCGATAAAGTAAAGCACTCAGACTGTTCCAGCATACCTGGTACGGAGGTCAGATGTATTGGAGAATGGGCAATGGCTGAGGGTGAGTATTACTAATATCTCAGATAAATAAACTATACATTGTAAAATAACAGCATGGCTTAGAAGAGATTCCCATTTTTCTAAAAAATGGATAACCCACTTTTTAAATACTCTTATCTGTAGCGTATCACTTTTCCAGAACAATGAATTTTTTTAGAAGTAAACGATGCATGCACTTTTAAGGAGAATTATTTATTAATTATTAAAGAAATAATTATAGGACAATAAGTAAGGAATTATTATTTTAAAATTAGTAAGAGCAGAATGGAAGGTTCTAGGGAAGGCTCTGGCACGCAAAGGGTTGCCATGCCAATAGCATACCTGCCAACTTTTACGCATTTGGCGTAAAATTTAATTTCCACATTTAAAGTGGTAGTAAAATGTATGTTTTCTATATATTCCTTCCATTTATAAACCTAATTTAAAATTTAAATCCACCACTATTTTTAAAAACTTTAAGCATATATTTTACATACCCTCCAACTTATGAGGATTTTGAAAATAATTCTTTCTAGTGGTAGCGAACCAAAGTAGAAATTTTTGAAGCAAATGGATGTCTCATAAAACTTTTATCAGAACTTAAGAATCTAGCCATATGGCCTGCACTTTTATAAGTAATAGAGGATAAGTTACGCTAAAATTAATTTTTTTTAAATATTAAGACATTAATTTTGCTACAGTCTGAAAAGAAGATTTCTGAAACTACGGAAATTCCGTAGCAGTTGGAGGGTATGTATTTTACTATGAAATATTGTCGTATTAGTCCACCTAAGCTTTATCCAAAAACAGCATTTATTTTGGCCTAAAATTGTAATTTGAATTCGAATTTACTATCACTGGGGAAAATCATCCGCGAAAGGATTAAAAATTGGCAGGTATGCAATAGAAGAAGACGAAAAAGAAAAGTTTGGCCTGTCTGGTTATTGAAGACGACTTGCTATTATAGTAGAAAAGTAATTTGTTATTGCGAATCTGATAATAATGATTCATGTACTATTAAATTATTGCTGTAAATTGATTGATGTATTTATGCTCTAAAATCACAACTACTAGAAATGAAATTAGTTAAAATGTAAGTTCTTCTAGCAATTTTATTTTTTCGTAAATTTATCACAAATAAGCTAGTAAACACAAGGAGAAATAAAAAACTCTTTTAAAAAATTACAAAAACAAACAACATATACGATAAAAGGAAGTTTTCTTCAAACAACTCCTTTAATCTCGTACCACCTCTTGACGAAGTATTTGTTCACAATTCAATTAATCACTCAGTTACGTTACATTATACCCATTAATGAGCAGAAAAACTAAAAGACTTCTAGTAAAATTTCTAAAAGAAACCCGAAAATCCACCATTTCTTTCCACATATATATAAAAATATTTATTTCTACTAAAATATGTAGAACATATAGTAAAATTAAGCAGTAAACTGTAAAAACTTTTTAAAATATAAAGCTCTTTAAAATGGAAAAAAAACTAACAAAAATTATAACTTATCTAAATAGCTAATTTGTTTAAGTTTATTAAATGTGCGGTTTTTATAATTTTATAAATTTTTTTTAATTACTAAAAAGGTACCATTTTGAATTTATAAAATGGAAGCTTTTAGAAATTGCGAAAAAATAGTTATTGAAAAGAGAACAAACTTCCCATATAACAAAATCATGTATAAAGTTATAAATAATATTTAATTATGACATTGGTTTTCAAATAACACAAAGTAAAGAAAAACGTTTTTATCTTCGAACATTTTTATTACATTTAAATGTCAGAAAAAACTCTAGCGATAAGGAAAGTCGAATCTTAAAGGAAACTTTACATTGAAATAATTGTTAGTTATTTGGCAAATATAATTGAAACTTTTATTGCATGATTTCGCACTGTCATGTAATTATCATTAATTAGCGTAAAAACCCATCGCGATACATTATTTAATGAAAATATTAAATTACATACAATGTTGCAGAAAAGCACTCTCAACGCTTTGTAGGAAAATTTATTCTAGTGGTAGCTAAGTTTAGGTCTTACTGTAAGATTCTTTATTTTGTTAGTTTGATTTAAGGTTATTTTTCACAGCACTGTATATGAATGATTCAGTTCATATGAAAAACGACTTTGTTCCAATTCCCTCACGGAGAAGCATTTAAAATGTTGGCAAAATTACTAAATAGTCTACCACTCTATAAAATATTTTGAAAAAAATCTTAGTAGTTAGCAGGACTGAAGGTAAATGGTCAAGTAAATGATAATTGCATGAGGTTTGTGAGAAAAATGTGTTCTTAATATTGCCTTCGAGTATTTAACACGTTCACGCCGGGGTGACCCACCGATGGGTCACGATGGATTGTCTCATCTTGGCAGCGCACCGGAGTAAAAACTGGTTACAAAAAATTTCATTTTTTACTTTTTTTCCGGGAATAATAAAAATCCATAACTACCAATTGTTTTTAACGGATGCAATTTTTATACTGAATTGTTTCTTCGCCGTGATAAATTTCCTTACAGTGAATTGCTATTGTTGAGAATAGATTAACTCCTCCCGAATATTATCCAATATTGAAATAGTTCTTCTACTAGTATTTTCACTTTTCCCGGCGTGAACGTGTTAAGTAACATTTATTACATGTAGCGAACATACGAAATAGATTATAATACTAAAAGATTTAAAGTTAAACTTATATCAGAATTGCATTTCGCGAGCTTTATTCTTGATTTTTGCATCAATTTTTATTTTTTAAAGTGGTAACAAATTATATACAATATTTTTAGCTTTGCTTTATAAAGCTATTTATAATGATTTTGATCACCACAACATATCTTAAGTAAAAAGTCGCATAATATTGTTTATAAATATTAATTGCTTGAATAGTTAAAGTATTTTCTATTTCTAATTGTAAAATCAATTTTTATATCGCTTCTACTACAAAAATTTTTTATTAGTGAAAACAGCTGCTAAGATTTCGCTATTAATATAGGTTTAAATTATATAGATGCAATGGTGAACAATTTCTTTAAATTTTATATTATTAACATACTAGAGAAACATACTAGAGATATTAATACTAGAGAAACGTTTTTTAAAACTACGTAAATAATGGAGTGGCAGTGATACCAATACCACATGCCATTAAAAAAAATAAAAAGTGGTGAGTGATAACCAGCAAAAATCTGCTAATAGAGCTAAAATCAACAAATTTTTCGAACTAAAGCTGCGAATGGCATTAAATATTTTCCTTTAAATATGAATAATTTACAATGTATGTCATAGTGGCAGTTACGACTTAATAATTAACTAAACAAAAAATGAATTGAGTTTTTACCACTTCTTTAATTTTTAGTTGCTGTGGCATCCTTGTAGTAGTTGGAGAGTATGCCTAAACTTGTCAAATATAACTATTAATTTTGAATTATATTTAACAAAAAGCGTAGTTGGTAGTCATACTGAAACAAAAATTTAAAGAAGCAGAATTTTTGAAATTTTAATATATTTTTGAAGTTTTTATTTTGAAATACTTATGAAAGAAGACCCGTAGAAATAAATGGTAACGAAAAATTCTTTTAAATTTTTATTTGTTCATAATTGATAAATTTTAAAATAATAACCGGCGTAATTAAAACAGCGGCTATAGCTCTCCATTAAAAATAAGTGAACGGAGAATCATACCAATTCTCAATTAGTTTTATGGGAAATAGAAATATTTTGGCTCTCGCTATAAGTTAAAAATTTAAAGAAATTGTGTGTGTTTTACAGCAATGAAAACTAGAGCTATCAATTTTTATTTTAAAACAAACTACCGGAGCCGCTATAGCTCAGGGGATAGAGCGTTCGTCCTCCAATGAGGTGAACCGGGGTTCGATCCCGACGATGGTTGATCGATACGAATTCCTTATATGGCTTGCACCGACCACTGTGCTGACGTGAAATAACCTCAGTGGTAGACCGATCATGGGTTAGAGTCCCTTTGCCGTCAGGCTAACCGTGGGAGGTTCTCGTGGTCTTCCTCTCCACGTAACGCAAATTCGGGTTAGTTCCACCAAAAAGTTCTCCACGAAGGCAAATTTCTCCCAATACTTGATCCAGGAGTTCCCTTGTCTTCTGGATTGGTTTCAAAATTATAAGGCTGCAGAGTTGAACATCAGTAGTAAACCCCAAATTAGGTCGGCTGTTCAACCACGGATATATAAAATAAAAAAACTACCATTTTTTAAAAAAATTTTTTTGATCAGAGCTGCGCTCATTGTTGATTTCTATCTTACGTATTTTGAAATACGAAGCTATGTTAAGTTAAATAACGCAGTTTAAACACTTTTAAAACAGATTCTAAGAGTAGTAGTTACTGAGGATGCATCGCAGTCTAAAGTAGTGAATCTCAAGTATATAATAGTTTTAAAAAAAATTTACGAAAGTGGCTTTCAAGTGCCTTTTACATTTAGTTAAAAAAGATTCCAACCTCAAATGAAGCGTTAAAAGTGCTACAGCAGTCTGACGTAACATCCAAATGAGGAACCAAACGGCCTTGTTATTCGCAGAAAACGGCTATTTATCTATCATGTTTTTACAGAGACCATGCCCTAGTGAAAAGGAAATCCTCACAAGTGTCATAAATCTTAAAAGACGTTAAGTTTTTACACCTATCTAAAGCAAAAACCATCATGTTGACTTAAAAAACTATATTCGGCGCACCATGACAGTGTTTCTCATCTCCTTCAGTCAAATCAGCTTTACGAGTTCAACTCGTTTTTTTCAGTTCGGGTTTTAATTTCGGTGACCTCACTGAGTGGAACACTTGATGATGATCTGTGTGTCGCATTATTTTTTATGGATTTATTTCTTTATTTTACGAGCATCGTTATTTTAGTTTTTTGTGTAAGTTGTGAAAAGNCCGATTACATTTAATATGACATCGATTTTCTCAATTAAAAGCCATATTTAAATATGACTGAATCCCTTGAAACATTATAACAGAAATATGTATTTTCAAATTATTGTATTATTATTA